TGCCCAGAATGGGGACTCAGCTCTGGGCAGTCAGGAATCTATGACTCAGGCGCTTCAAATTTCATGAGAGCATTTCCGCCACCCCTTACACACTTGCTCCTCTGTTTCTGAACCTCATGAACCAGCAGCTCCAAACTGCAGCACCCTTGAGCTTTCTGTCACCTGGGTCTGCCAGCTTTGCCCAAACTATCAGAGCTCAGCTGACAAATACTTATCACAAAAGGTTTTGAAATAAAATGCTTTACTGTTTCTTGTGGTCATTCAAGCAGTACAAATTTACAGCAAAACAAAAATCACAAAATTCAGAAAAGTATAAAGCTCACTCACTCACCATGCTTTAATCAAATATACCCACTGAAAACATTTAGGTCTTCAGGAAACCAACCATTACAAAATGAAATTAAAGAAAACCTACTAAGTACAATAACATAAAAACAAGTATCTGGGAACAATATGACAAAACACACTTAAGACCAATGCAGGGAAAAACTATAAAACATAGTTACAGAGTAATTCAAGAAGAGGAAAATTAATGGAAAGAAGCTCCAAGTTTGTGGATTGGGATTCTCAATAGATGTCATCTTCCCTGAACTAATTTATGGAATTCTAATCAAATGCCTCCCCGTATTTTGGGTGAAATTTCACAAACAGAGTATAATATTAACATAGAAATAGAGCCAAGAGAAGACATTGGTTTGGATAAAAACAGAGTTTTCTACAAGATATTAAGAATTAACACCAGGCTAGAGTAATTAGTCAAGGTAGTATTAACTCAAGGATGCCAAAGTTGACCAATGGAACTACACAGACTCACACACAGATGGGCTCTGTACATATGTTAGAGGGGGCTTTTACAGAACAGTGGGGAAAGGATGGTCCCTTCAACAAATGCTGCTGGAATGTTTGGTGACTCAAGCAAGTGCCCAAATCTCAGTGTATTATTATGAGAACAAGAATAAGACCCATCTAACAGGGATGCTGGAGGACTCAAAGGAGGAACAGTAATATGGAGAAGTCAAAGACTGTTTCCCAGCCACACATGTGACCAGTGACTCAGGTGGTAAGAACATGCTTGATCTTTTGTGCATCCTTAAGAGAGTTTTTATTTTTTTTTTTATTTTTTATTTTTATTTTTTTAACATCTTTATTGGGGTATAATTGCTTTACAATGGTGTGTTAGTTTCTGCTTTATAACAGAGTGAGTCAGTTATACATATATATATGTTCCCATATCTCTTCCCTCTTTGTCTCCCTCCCTCCCACCCTCCCTATCCCACCCCTCCAGACAGCCACAAAGAACCGAGCCGGTTTCCCTGTGCCATGCGGCTGCTTCCCACTGGCTATCTACCTTACGTTTGTTAGTATATATATGTCCATGTCTCTAAGAGAGTTTTTATTGACTGGACTTTTGTAAATGCGATGTTATTTTTGGTACCAAGACGGGGTGACAATGTGAGTTGGTAAGCCTATTGTCTAATCCAGTGATTCATTCTGGGGCAGAACACATGTGTAATTTTACATTTTCTAGTAACCACAGTAAAAGAGTACAAAGACAGAGATGAAATTCAATTTGATTTAATGCAGTATTTCTAGAAGTTGTTATTTCAACATGCCATTAATATCAGGTCACATGAGGGAATCAGGAGGTCACACCGGCACCTTCCAGGTGCTGACTGGAGACCCATGCCAATTCTTACAGCATGAGTACCCCAGCCAGACTCTAACCTCTTGTGCCAGCAGCTGCCAGCTATATGGGTTTTTACCAGCCACACTTCCAGTAGGGTCAGCTGGGTCCAGAATCACAGGTCTGAAAAGCAACAGTTAGAGAGGGGCAGGTATGTGGGCTGTGTTGGGGGGGGTCTAGAGCTCCTGGCAGAGCAAAATACCAACTTGGGCAGACTGGGACTTGGGGCAGCAGGTGGGGCCCAGGAGGGCACTGCTCCTTGGGGTGTGACCTGAGGGCCCTCCCCTACGGTGGGCATTGAACACAAGGAGAAGGAGGCTTGCATTCGGGCCTTGATAGACCTGGGTTTGAATCTTACCTCTGCTCTTTATTAGTGGTGTGACCTTGGGCAGGTCACCTGAATCTCTAATCCTCAGTATCTTCATCAGTGAAATGGGGAGATTTGAATAACCCTACCTCAAAGCATGTTGTCTGAGGATCTAGACAAGCATGTGAAGTGCTCAGAACAGTAACTGGAACATAATAAGGGGTCCATACATGTCAGTTTTAATAACCAAAATTTTACTATTCTGTTCGAGCGTGTTGGTCTTACAGCAAGCTCTTACTTCCTGGGAGCAGTCATTATTGTTGCTGTAGCTATTGTTATTTTAGTCAAATTTCATCTATTTCACTCATTTTCTGTTAAGGTTTGGACAAGCTCTTATTTCTCCAAACCTCAGTCATCTGTAGAATGGTTAGCATAGTGCCTGCCTCACTGGATTGGAGGTTACTATTTAAATTTATTATTCAAATCAGATGGTAGGAGTAAAGTGCCCAGCACAGTGATTGACAATAGATGATGATCAATAAATATGGATCCCTCTCACTTCCTACATTTCCAAGGTGTCACAGCTGTAATCATGGGTTCATTTATGTGGGGAGCTAAGCCATGTGGGGATGGAGTACCTGGGTTTTGCAAGTTGCCTTCTCAGGTATCGTCCAATAATAGGGTTTTCAAAGTCATAATACTTTTCCCAGTAGATGCAGAGGTGCTGGTGCTTCAGGACTAATTCCGAAACAGTCTGCAATCCCTGAGCTGTGCTGAATTCTGTTTCCATGCTTCCTTGCTCCCAAGCATAGACTGTCAGAAGCTCCAGGGCATATTGTGGGGGCAGTTTTTTCCCACGTCTCATCTTACACTGAGAAGAGGAAAAAAAATTAGGAAAATGAGTTTGCTCAGCTTTTACGTGAAGAAGAGTTAATGCCTATTCTTCTCAAACTATTCCAGAAAACTGAGGATTAAGAGATGGTTCCAAACTCATTCTACACCAAAACCAGACAAAGATATTACAAAAAATTATAGGCCTGATGATCATAGATGCAAGAATCCTCCACAAAATATTAGCAAAGCAAATTCAACAATATATTAAGTTGGTCAAGTTGGATATATTCCACGGATTCAAGGATGCTTCTGTATCCACAAATCAATCAACGTGATACATTTGCATTAACATAACGAAGGATAAAAAGCATATGACCATTTCCACAGATACAGAAAAAACATTTGAGAAAATTCAACAGCCATCTGTAATGCAAACTCTTAACAAGGTGGGTATGGAGAGAACATAACTCAATATAGGCCCTATACGACCAACCCACAGCTAAACCATACTCAATGGTGAAGGCTAAAAGCTTTTCCTTTAAGATCAGGAACAAGACATATATGCCCACTCTCCCCACATACATTCAACATAGTATTGGAAGTCCGTCCATGGCAATCAGGCATGAAAAAGAAACAAAATGCAGGGACTTCCCTGGTGGCGCAGTGGTTAAGAATCCACCTGCCAATGCAGGGTA